AAAACACACACACACACACACACACACACACACACACACACACACTCTCACACACACACACACACACACACTCAGGAGTTGTTCGTCTAACACTGTGACTCGGTGAAGGTGTGCTCATGCAGTTTTTTATGCATCATGTAGCCGTCCTCATATTCAAAATCCTGAAATAAACACCACAGTCAGTTTATTTCTATAGTGCTTTATACACATAATTTAAAAGCAGCTTCACTAAAATAAAGAGGAAAATAACATTGTTAATGTTGCAAAATTCATAACTTATGAAACTAACGGAGTTTCATCTGTAAAGCAGCTCTACAGAAGACAACAGTGCATAACAGTCAGTTCCAGAAGTGAAAACTCCATTCTTTTTCTCTATGGGGAAGCTGATTTTGAACAATAACAATAATCTTTACAGATAGACCTGTTGTGAGCGTCAATGAGGTTGTTCATCAATTCTGTACGCTTCTATTAAACCCATCTGTTTGCGTTAATTCAACTTACTTTAAAAATATTCCTGTTTAATAACAAAATTCATGGTGAAAAACTACATTTCCCATGATGCTGCACTGAAAATTCCACCAATCAGAGAGTCGCAGCAAACAAAGAGATATTTAGCTCCACCCACTCCCACAAATTAATTAAGCCTCTCTATGCTCTCAGATTCCTTAAATATTTGAGTATATATATGCATACTTGGCATTTTACTTAAAAATAATAACTTTAGTTCTCCGTTATTTTTAATCAATTTCTGTCATTCATTGGGTTGTAGTTCTTTCCTTCACTAAAGCTGTTAAGTTCACAATCGAGTATCTTCGTCTTTATATTGATTTTCATTTACTTTTTGCTTCAAATCAAAGTTTGTAACATTGCGATTCTCCTCATGTCTGGTTGGTTTGGTTCATGGCTTATAATCCTTTAAGGAAGACTTTTAAAAAAAATCCCTATGAGATAAATAAATGAGAAAAATACTTCCAGAACCAGTGCTGCATGTCATAATTCAACTCAATTCAGTTCAGCGTTGATTCAAATCAGTTCAGTAACAGTAAGAGTGTTGCTAAGCTAATCAGTTATGAACACGTCCAATTCTGTTTAAAGTCTAAATAAACTCTCCCAACACACATAAACCAACACAGACGGAGGATTACCTTAAAGTAGCAGCAGCACAGGGAGCATTTCTGCTGCGTCTGGCCGTAGAAATACTCATCACTGTGAACAGACACACAGTCATCACTCACATCTAACATCACTCTGAACCGCTGGATTCCTGCACATCACTTCTTACCCAGTGACCTCCTCGATGGGCGAGTGATGGGCCGCGGGACTCTTCTCTTTCACGGACCAGCACGGACACAGGATTCGACCCAGCAGCACCAGCGTGATGATTCCTGACGGCACCAGAACAAACACCAGCAGCACGCCGACATCCGTGAACATCACCGACAGCCCTAACAGACACACAGACTGCGTCAGAACTGAACCAGTAAAACTATGATCATACTGCGTCTGGGTGAATCTCACGAGGAAACGTCCGGGTCGGATTTCACCCCATTAAAAACAAAACCACAAAAAATACTACTTTTTATTTTGGAAGCACTGTGTCATTATATTCATGACACCCTTTATTTATATAGCACTTTACACAATATTAATTGTTAAAGATATACAGTTCAGACAAAAATGAAAATGTGCTCACCCCTGGCCTTCCGAGATCAGGATGAGTTTGTTTCTTCATGGGAAAAGATTTGGTGAAATTTAGCATTACATCATTTTTGATGCCTAAAGCCGTTTGTAAAATAACGTCCATAATAACTCTTCCTGCAGTGAAAAAGCCCATCTCCTGTTGTCTCTCGCATCAAAATCCAGCCACATATATGTTTAGATGAGCTCTAAACAAATGAGATGAGTCCAAACCAGATGAGTCCTCTGCACAATCTGACTCTGCTGCAGTCTAGAATTAAACTGCTGGTCTCGCCAGAGAATGACACAGTTTCCCTGTTTAATACTGTAAAGCTGCTTTGACACAATTTGCATTGTAAAAAGCCCTGTATAAATAATGGTGACTTGACTTGACTTGACTTTAGAGCTGTTTTGGCTTGTAAACGGTGCTTGATCTGTGCAGATTTCTCTCCTGATTCAGACCAGACCAGTTTTTCACTGGAGGAAGCATTATTATGAATTATGGACTCAGATTTTAGTCAAAAAATGCTGGATTGTTTCAGCTTTTGCTTCTCCAGATCTCTTAACTGATGGACTGGAGTGCTGTGGATTACTTGTGGATTATTGTGATGTTTTTATCAGCTGTTTGGACTCTCATTCTGACGGCACCCATTCACTGCAGAGCATCCATTGCTGAGACACTGATGCAATGCTGCATTTCTACAAACCTGATGAAGACACAAACTCATCCTGATCTTTGATGACCTGAGGGTGAGTGCATTTTCATTTTTGGCTGAACGATTCCTTTGAATAATTTTACTGTTTATTCATGTGAAGCTGCTTTAGTTTAGTTTAGTTCAATTTAGTTCAAATGTGCTTAATTCTCAAGAAAACAGCCACAATGCTAAATGCCTACACAGATTCGGGGGTGAAACGAGACCTCCTCTGAGCTCATATCATGCGTGTCTCACTCTGTGGTGTGACGGTGAGGACGGTCTGGGCCGGGTGTCCGTGGACATCGGGAGGGTTGCGTACGGCGCAGGTGTACGTGCCGTTATCAGTGAGCGAGGCGTTTAGAAGCTGGATCGATGCTTCTCCCCGCGACGGGCTGCCGACCCACTTCACACGACCTTTAAAATAATCCTCCTCCGGCAGGTACGCTTGAGACGAGAAGTGAAAAAACTGCAGAGAAACAGATCAAGGCTCAAAACCAACACTTTTTTCATATTCTGCAGTGCTGATGAGAGACAGACGATTCGCTGTGAAGCCTGATCAGAACCAGCAAATCACTGCCAGACTCTCTAAACACCTCCATTAAATACTAGAATAAACACCTCAATTAAATACTAGAATACATATGTGACCCTGGAGCACAAAAGCAGTCTTAAGTCGCTGGGGTATATTTGTAGCAATAGCCAACAATACATTGTATGAGTCAAAATTATACATTTTTCTTTTATGCCAAAAATCATTAGGATATTAAGTAAAGATCATGTTCCATGAAGATATTTTGTAAATTTCCTACCGTAAATATATCAAAACTTCATTTTTGATTAGTAATATGCATTGCGAGGGACTTCGTTTAGATAACATTAAGGACGATATTCTCAATATTTTGATTTTTTTTAGTGCTGTCGAACGATTAATCACGATTAATCGCAACCAAAAAAAGTTTGTTTTTGTTTACATAGTATATGTGTGTGTGTACTGTGTATATTTATTATGCATATATAAATACACACACATACAGTATATATTTTGAAAATATTTCCATGTATTTGCATTTATATATTTATGTTCATATAATTTATATTATATATAAATATATTTAATATATGAACATAACATATTTTTCTTAAATATATGCATGCGTGTGTGTGTATTTATATATACATAATAAACATACATATACACACACACATATATATTATGTAAACAAAAACTTTTAATTTGGCACTCATTTTTTTGCACCCTCAGATTCCAGATTTTCAAATAGCTGTATCTCGGCCAAATATTGTCCGATCCTAACAAACCATACATCAATGGAAATATTATTTATTCAGCTTCAGATGATGTATACATCTCAATTTCAGAAAATTGACCCTTATGACTGGTTTTGGGTGCTCAATCTGACCAGTGATTCCTGCACGATGAACGGAAAGGCTGAAGATATACTCACTGTTTTGGCAGGACCGCCGCTGTGGGGTCTGAAGGTCCAGTCGATGGACATGAGGCTGGTGATTCTGCTGGAGGAGGTGAAGGAGCAGGTCAGGGTGACAGTGCCTCCTCTGACCACGCTGACCTCTGCTGGAGCCGCTACTGAGATACAACACACGCTCCTCCACAGCACTGACACACAGAGACATCAGTAAGCATGGTGTTCAGTGTTCACTCAACCTCCACACACTTGGTTTAGTTTTTACTTTACTGCTTTATTAATCCCACAAGGGGCAATTACAGTGAGGCATGGGCAGCACATCACAGATTTCCCTAATGGACATAACAGCACATAACAAAAAACTGAATCCCACATACACACACACACACAAATTCACATAGTTGCAAGTTACAGACTGCAACAATACAAATACAGTGAGTACAAATCCAGATCACAATACAGTGAGTCGGTGTTCACACACTCGATGTTCGCTAGGGATGGGCGATATGGGCTTAAAAATATATCACTATAATTTCTGGTATTTATTGCGATAACGACATCAATGACGATAAATCAGGGAATCCTGTTTCTTTAGAGAAAAGTATTATCTTTCCTATTTTAACCCAAAATAGGGTGTTGTGAGCATTACTGAGCACACACGTAATGTAATGACAGTTTAATTCATACTGGAAGCCAGGGGGCGCTCTTGCACAGAAACTCCACATATGCATCGCAGAAGTAATAGCACTGACCACGCTCCAGGAAATCCAGTTATCGCTGTAGCTGAATAAAACGCAGATAGAGACATTTTAATTGAGGAAACTTGAAAATAAACATACAGTCGTGGTCAGAATTATTGGCACCTTTGGTAAATATGATCAAAGAAGGCTGTGAAAATAAATCTGCATTGTTAATCATTTTGATCTTTTATTAAACAAATTAACATAAATCTAACCTTTCATTGGAGAATAAGAATTTAAAATGGGGGGAAATATCATTATGACATAAATGTTTTTCTCTAATACATGTTGGACACAATTATTGGTACCCCTAGAAATTCTTATGAGTAAAATATCTCTGAAGTATATTCCCATTCATATTCACAATTTTGAGCACTCCAGGGTGATTATGAACATGAAATTATCCAGCCGTGGCTTCCTGTTTCACAGGAATATAAATAGGAGGAAAAACAAAGGCCAAATTCCCTTCATCATCATCACAATGAGAAAAACCAAAGAATATATTTCTGATGTGCAGCAAAAGATAATTGAGCTTCACAAATTAGTGAAATGGCTTTAAGAAAGAGCTAGAGCAGTGAAAATCCCCATTTCCACCATCAGAGCAATAATGAAGAATTTCCAATCAACAGAAAATGTTACGAATCTGCCTGGAAGAGGACGTGTGTCTATATCGTCCTAATGCACGCTGAGGAGGAGAGTTTGAGTGGCTAAAGACTCTCCAAGGACCACAGCTGGAGAACCGCAGAGATTAGTTGAGTCTCGGGTCAGAAAACCTTTAAAAAAACGATCAAACAGCACCTACACCACATGTTGTTTGGGAGGGCTTCAAGAAAAAAATCAAGAAAAGAAAATGCTCTCATCCAAAAACAATCCCCAGCATATTCAGTTATCAGACACGACTGGAACTTCAATGGGATTGGCTTCTATGCTCAGATGTAACTAAAAAATTAGCTTTTTAGCAACAGACACTCAAGATGGGTTTGGTGCACACAGGGATAAAAAGTACCCAATGTGTGTACAATGAAATATACTGCTGTATTTTTAATGTTGCGGGCCTATATTTTTTGCTTGAGGTCCTGGACATCTTGTTTAGATACATTATATTTCTGCTGGACATCTTGTTTAGACACACGGCATCATGCATTCTATCAAATACCAACAGATAAAAAATCAGTAAGTGACTGACTCTGTTAGAAATCTTATAATAAGCCATGTTTGGATCTTCCAACCGGACAATAATCCAAAAACAAACCTTAAAAACAACACAAAAATGGGTCGCTGGGCACAAAACCAAGCTTCTGCTCTGGCTGTCCCAGTCCTCTGAGCTGAAGCCTATAGAAGATGAGTGGTGAACTGAAGAGGAGGAGCTGGGGATCTGAAGGGTCTGGAGAGATTCTGGATGAAGGAAAGGTCTCTGATCTCTTGTCAGGTGCTCTCTAACCTCATCACGCATTATAGGAGAAAACTCAGAGCTGTTATTATGCCAAATGGAGGTTAAAAAAGCATTGAATAAAAGGGTGCCGTTAATTGTGTCCACTGTGTATTAGAGAAAAACATTTATGTCATAATGATATTTCCCCCCATTTTAAATTCTTATTCTCCAATGAAAGGTTAGATTTATGTGAATTTTTTTAATAAAAGATCAAAATGATTAACAATGCAGATTTATTTACACAGCCTTCTTTGCTCATATTTACCAAGGGTGCCAATAATTCTGACCACGACTGTACGATTGTGACAATATATGGTTTATCTGTGTTCTTCAAGTGATCCTGGGTATTTTTATAAGGATAAAGGGTTACACTTTATTTTGATAGTCCACTTCAGACATTCTACTAACTATAAGTAACTTTGCAACTACATGTGTACTAACTCTCAGAGGTACTTGTGCTGCTGTACATAGAGTTGTTGCATCACTCACTCTCAGTGTGGTTCACTAGTGTACACTGTTATGCTGCAGCGGATGAAGCAGATATCTGTCATATCTGATGTTCAGTTACTCAGAACAATAAAAATCATAAACTGCAAATTAAACTCTGATATCATATCAAACACTAGAGCTGAGTGAACACAGTTAAATCACAGTTCACTGCATAAACACATCTACTACGTTAAGACAGTGTCTTTATAACTACTCTGGCCAACTAGCAGCTAGCCAAGGAATAATCAGTCATACTTTTTAGATTCAAATTAGACCAATCTACCTTTTTATGCAAAAGACAAACAAACAAAAAAAAAAGTTACGGCCAGAAAAAAAATGCATCACTAACTTCTAAGACTAAGTGGTGTATGCATCTGGCAGGACATTATGAGCATAACCTGTGTCCAGAAACACTGATGCCTGAAGATCCAGTAAATTAAACCGCATCAGTTTGTGTAAGAGCTCCAGATCATCACGATGACGTCACTTCTGGGACGAGCCGTGATGTCACCGCGTGACGTCACACGCCCGCTCACGTCATCTAAACGCTAATTCATGAGTGTAAAGAGTGTTTTGGTTCACACATGACCTTCAGTATCATGCCATTCAGTGTAAAACCCTAGTGATGTTCAAATATCACACATGACAGATATAACCAGTGAATGAAGTGTGATTATAAAAAGATATTATAAAAACATAACCATATAATGACAGCAGTGGCATTTTAACTGTTGAAAAATACCATCATAGGAACTGAATGCTAGGTTTCTCCGGAATAACTGATCTGTAACTGATCTATAGCTCGGTGTTATGGATATTTACACACGGCAGATGATTGACAGCTCTCTAGCTCGTGTGTCTTTCACCCAAACAGACTCAACGCATCTCTAATGACACCGAGTTACCCATTTATAGTCTTTAAGAAGCGACAAACCCTCTCAAACCCGGTTATTAAAGTTCTTCAAACTTTATTCCGCTTCAAAGCCGAGCGAATAAAAACACCCAGAACTCACCGAAAACGACGAAAACACCCGATAAAACTCCTTTAGACAAGCTTCTGTTCACATCCATGACAGATCACAGGACATATATGATCACATGCGAGTGATTATGAGTGAATATGAGCAGGTATTTGAGCAGATTAGTCGCGTTTATGTGGCTGGTTTGTTTTTGTCCTCCATGTTTGATACCTGCCCAACAGGTGAGACCGGAAGTTACACCACTGACTCTAAAGCACTGTTACTGCCCCAAACCCTGTTACCTGTTACCTCTTAACCTCACTAAACACTTTAAACCCAGTGCACAAGTAATTTTATAGCTTATATATGATCAATACATCAGTTATGATGTGAGTGGTATAAACTCTTTCTGTGTGTCTGAAAGGCTGTATGTCAGAGTATATTGACAGTCGATTCTATTTTCATTAATTCAACTGAATGGCAGCTGTTTGATGATGATAGTTATTATCATGAGTCTATGATAACTCAAAATATCTCAGAAATTAATCCTGAAAGCATCACATGTGCTCATGAGTTTCCATGATTTTGGTTATTCTGAGACGAGGGTTGGTTTAGACTGTTTCCTGCTAAGGAGAAATGAGCTTAATGAAAAGGACTGAAATAAGATTAATTTCTGTTACAGTTAATGACTAGAAACCGAGAGTCGGTCACGTGACAGCAGCGGCGCTCTGAACACTAGAGGGCGCCTGAGCGCTTCAGAGAGAAAACAACTAAACCTTCACTGTGTGTGTGTGTGTGTGTGTGCGTGTGTGTGCGTGAGTGCGTGTGTGTGCGTGTTCTTGTTTTTCTATTCTGGTGAGGACTTCGACCTGAATAAAATGAGGTCCCCACGGGCAAAGCCCCACAGGCACCTCCCAAACAGTGTTTGGACACGCCCCATGTGTTTTTTTCAAAGTCCTCTTAAGGACGGATTTCAAGACAAAAATGTGTGTGACTGTGTAACTATGCGCTCCTGGTGGTCACACAGAATACTGCAGTCCCCACGAGTAACATTGTTCTGGAAAAGTGCGTCACTTTCTTCGCACTCTCTAGCGCCAACTATTGGTCAATAATAAAACGAAAATTTAATTATATATGTATTCAATATATTACTATTTACTTATAATTATATATTACTTTATAAAATAAACAGAAATAAGTAAATTTACTGTTGATGCACCTGGATGAAAATTCTGGATACACTGAGCCACAAACAGAAAATTAATTAATTCTAAAGCAAATTCTTTGTTATATTACATCATAAGGCATCAAATAATTAGAATATAATAGATCTGATAACAATGATGCCCTTTATGTAATTTATTGTGTATCTATCTATGTTCAAATAATCATTATTGATGACAATAGGAAAGAAATCAAAAAGAGGTTGGCCAGCTCCAGGTCTTTCAGTCTCACTTATGCATGGACTGTTGTTTGGGAGGGCAATCTACATCCATTCATTCTTCATTTAGGTTAAAAATAATTTAATGTGATTTTGTTAATGGTAATATATTATTATTATTATGAACATTATTATTACTATTCTAATATATTATTATTATTATTTATAATATTATTAAATCATGATCAGTAAATGATAATACAGTTTATTTCTCCTTTGGGATACCCTTGTGGCTGAGCCTTTCGGCATACATTAAACAGAATTCACAGAGTTTACGGTCAACAGATCACTAATAAACTTGAAAAACAATATATATGTTAAAAAATCATCAGGCCCTGATAATATACAATCTCTGTACCTGAAATGGGCAGCTGCACGCACACACACACAGTTCAGAAACACGCATCAGACTGAGACAGATTTTCGAGAAATTAAACATGGTACATGTTTTAAATGTTGTTTATTTGAACGTTTACATCTGTCGCACCCTGTAAATATAGTACTGTTTAACAGAAATGCAAATAACACGAAATGATACAATAAAACCTTGTGTGATCTTTAAACGTGTTACATTTCATCCTCCTTTACAGAACATTGTTTTTTTTTTTTTTATTAAAGAGTCGGCAGTCATTCATTTAAAAATAACATTTTAGCTTCATGTTTACTTTTTCATTAATGCATGAAAGTTTTTAATGTCCAGTGCTAAACTATAACATCACACAAAATTCAATAAAAATCTCCTCAACATTATTTGAAAATTGTGTGTAATAAAAATAAATTTCAATAAAGAATCACTCTTGAAAGTAATGAGTATTAATAAAATGCATTACAGTAAACAGAAAAACAGCTCAATAATCATGAAAATATATTGATATTTAATGCAATATACATATAGTTTCTTTTGGATGAAATATAATGTGACCATGTTTTCATGAGATTCACCCATTGATCATCCAATGACAAACCTATCAGTCGATTTTGGTACTGAGGTATGGAGGTAATATTACTGTTAATCATCAAACAGTTATTGGCCGATGGACAATATTATCAGATGAATGGTTCTGGTTGATATAGACACACGAGGACATCAAACCACAGCCACTGCAGTGCCTTCATTCAGTCATACCTGCACTTCATCATCATCATCATCATCATCATCTGCAATAGCAGTGTAAAAAGAGGTGAAGAGAGCTACAGGACAGCGAATAGAGAGAGATATAACCATAGCAACCAAGGTCTGCTGGTTACCGGGTAGAGCCTGAAGCTTGATGAACAGCAGGACTAATGAGATGAAGGCATATCAACTCCAGAAAACTCTCAAAGTCACATCAACCTGTTTGATTAGTAGCTGCTGGTGCGATTGCTGACAGTCTTGCTGGATTTGCTGGAGTGTGTGAGTGTGTGAGTGTGTGTGAGTGTGTGTGTGTGAGAGTGTTGTGTGTGTGTTCTCAGCAGCTGATCAGGTTGTGCTCGTGTCGGAAGACGGTGTGGTTTGGTTCTGGGTTCCTCCATCTGTGACAGCGGCGCAGCAACGCCGCGATCATCACCAGCAGCAGAATCAGCAGAATGGTGCCTCCGATGGCCACACAGAGAATCAGGATCTCAGAGAGCGAGGCTGGAATCACAAGATCATGTGAGCGACACGCGTGTGCAGCGACAGACTCTCAGACCGAACCATCGTCAGCTTTCGAAAATTTTGAACCAACTGCTTCGCAAAACGATTCGCTGTTTCGAAGCCACACTCTGGTCACAAACGTGTAAATGCAATAAAAACATGCTAAACAGTCTAAGATGCATAAAAACAGCTTGCACAAACCAATTTATATGATAATTCTACTGAAAAACAAGACAGAAATACAGAGAAAGATATTTATGTTTTGCAGTGTACGCAACATTTAATGCCATGACTTTAGACTCTGCTCTGATCTAAGGCCCTAATTTGTGGAAATGTGACTTTTTAATAGAAACATTTTATTATACATTTATTATACAAATGTGTAATTAAAATGTCCGCATGTCTATCAAATTTATCCGAAATCAACTAAAATCCATATAGACACTGGTTCACGGGTTCACAGAGATCAGCAGCAAACCACTGAAACATCGAACCGTTCCAAATCAGTTATAATGTAACGCGTCGTTTACTGAAACCATGTGACTCTGGCCGTTTGATCTGCGCTCTGAATCAGTGATTCTGAAGCTTCACTAACGCTCACCTGTGCTGACGACCTGCAGACACACCACACCCACGTTCCCGTGAACATCCGGCGGGTTCTTCACCTGACAGCTGAACGTCCCGTTAAATGAGAACGGCACTCTTCGCAGAACCACAGACGCATCACGGCCGCTGATGTCTCCAGCCCACTCCACCTTCTTCCTAAAGCGGCCCTCCAGAGGAGCAAACGGCCTCTCGTGATAATAAAACACCTGAGCAGACAGAGACGGTCAGAACGAGCCATGTTTTACAATTCTGTAAAAAAGTATAGTAATTGCAACTGAGTAAGGTGAATATATTGTATAGGCCTACTGTATGTACTGCAAGAATAGTATTGTGCTGAATATTGAACAGTACTGAATGTTTGTATATATTCAGCACTTGGTTACTGCAAAAATAATGCAGTCCAACTGCAAAGGCCAAAAAGGTAAAATACTGTAAAACTCTAAATGAAAAGCATGTTACAGTTCACTCAAATACTGTAAGTTGTGCAATTGTAAAATCAGGGTCAATGAGAGACTCATTCTGTCTCAGCATCATGTCTTTGTGCTCGGGTCCGGCCTGACAAGTCCACATCACAAGTAATGTAGTCTTTTTTGCTAGACAAAGAGAAAAAACCCTGTGGTCTGACAGATCCAGCCTTGATAACACTCTCTAAACCTTACTCTTTCTCTCCTCATCCTCCACTTCTTACATGTACTCTTCCTCCTCTCCTTCTCAGATTGTGTCCATCTATTGTTCGTATCATCATTCAGTCACCTGTGACACTTGTGCACTCTGAACTGACTCATATGTTGTACAGTTGGTTTGATCACATCATTAGAAACAAGTGTGAACAATTTTGAATCATTGTGTGTAAACGATGACAACTGTGCTTTAGTTGTGTTTAACTTTTGCCGCTTGTGTTTAGCATTTTGCAGCACAAATGCATCACAGTGTGATCAGTGTTTAAGTGAAAGAGAATGTTTAGAGTTTTGCAAAAAGAGTGCATGAGATTTGCAAATAGAGCCTAACTGCCTGAACGTGTTTAAGGTTTAGCAGAAAGAGTGCTTTATTCGACAAATTGGTTTAAGCTAGTGAGAATTTGGTTCAGAGATTGGGGTTTAGTGTTTTAGCAATTCAGAAAAACTGTAACAAGATAAGAGGTGTGTATATATACACAGCAGACTTAACTTTGTTCCTTGACAGTTTTTCCAGCGTTTCACTTTGCTCTTTTTGCACAATGTCGCAAATCAAACTGTCTCCATCCAACGACGAGCCCGAATTCTCCTCGGATCCTACGCCGCAATCTGCCGGACCCAGGACCATCACTCCACTGCCAAACAAAGCCACGGAGCCACACGCTCACCAAGACGCCGAGGCCAATCCTCACCTCCACCAGAGAGACCTCCAATTGCTTCCCCGGCGTCCTCCTATTGTTCAGCGGGGTCAACAATTCCTCCTATTGAGAAGTGGACAGTGTTAAGCTTGAGGCAAGCGCTGATCAATTCCGAAGTGCAGTTCTCGCGAAGGATGAACAAAGCAGAACTTTACGATCTTTACGTTACCTTGCGATCAGCCAACCTCACGCCAAAATCCACTGCAGCCCCCAAGGCAGCCAACAAAGCGACTAAAGCCCGCAAGGCCCCGAACTCGCCTCGCTCAACACCTCCTTCATCTGCTCAAGATCCGGTCCTCCCACAGCGGCAGGCCTTCAGCAAGCCTGGGCCGCGCCTCAGAGCTCACCACTGCAGAGTTCACGGCAGCTCTCCCTGCCGCAGCGCCGTATGCAGCCGGGCCCACTGGCCCTCCATCAGCCTCTCAGTCTGGTCCTGCTACTGATAATCTCTTTTCTTTTCAGTGGCCTCCAGCTCCCGTAGCAAACACTAGCATGAGGCTGCCTCCGCTAGCGGCGCAAGCTACACAACCTCTTCAGGGTGTCACAAACACTCTGCCTCAGCTTGCTACACAGGCCCACACATCTCAGTCTTTTGCTCCATTTCCCTACTACAGTCTACCTCCTCAAACTTCAGAACCCGATCCAAGCATGAGGCTACCTCCGTCGACAATCGCGGCTCCTCCTCCTCTCCCTTACTCCTCTCTACTGCACTCAAAATCACAATATTCTCTATTCACAGCAACACCTCTGCCTGTCCCATCAAATGCTGTCGCCTCGGAGCCACCATCAGTGGCTCACAACATCCGAGCACAGATACTAACAGGTGTGGACATAGACCTCTCAAGTCTACTTTCTCTGATTCCTGCGCCCGAATCTAACCACCAAATGGACTGCGGAGACTTTTCAGTAACTCTAAAAAACCAAAACCCACTCTCATCACGCATATTGTCAATTTCTGAATTTACAATTGCGTTCAGCCGGTACACTGAATTAATCTGCTCTGCCTTTCCCCATAGGCGGTGCAAACTAAACGATTATTTGGCGCTAATAGCTGAGCTCGCATTGTCCTACAGAGGAGGGCATTTCTACACCTACCACAAGCTCTTCTCGGCAAAATGCGCAGTACGGGACTCCCAGTGGAACCAATGCCCGTACTGGGGCGCAATCAACCCCGACCTTCACAACAGAGTGTTTCTAGGCTGCAGAAACATCTCATGCGCGGTCTGCAGGTCAGTGGCTCATTCCACTATGCTATGTCCACAAATTAACCCCTCCATTCCTCCCTGCCCAGTCACATCCCCAGTTAAATCTACTAGCTACATGCCAAGACCCGCAACCAACGTAAATCTGGATTTTAGAAGGAATGCTCCTTCTACTGACAGCAGGCAGCCCTGCAATCAATTCAATGTCAGCAAATGCTCCAGAGAGCATTGCTGGTATATCCATATCTGATGTTTTTGTGGCGGTGCTCATGCCCGTCATGTATGTACTGTAAGGAAATCAGCTATTAAAAAATAAAAAACAACTACTTATCGTCTCCTGTGAATATTTCTCGCCTATCTATCGAACTATGTAACCACCCAGACACCGAATTCACTAATTATCTGCTGTCCGGCCTCAAACACGGTTTTAAAACCGGCGTAGAATGCCGGCTTTCTGAAAGCATTACCTGTAACAACCTCCAATCCACTCTCGCAGAGCCCGATGTCGTAGATAATCTGATTAAAAAAGAAGTAGATTCAGGTTTCATGATCGGCCCTTTCGACGCTCACTCCTTTCCAGTTTTCCGAATTAGCCCCATTGGAGTAGCCACCAGAAAAATTTTGGGTAAGAAACGCCTCATAATCAACTTGTCAGCTCCTCATAATTCCCCGTTCCCAAGCATAAACAGCTTGATTCCTCTTGACGAATTTTCTCTCAAATGCCACGATGTTGGTCATGTGATCGATATGTTAAAAATCGTGGGTCACGGTGCTTGGATGGCAAAAATCGACATCACCACAGCATTCAAAGTAATGCCCATCCATCCGGATTCATGGCTGGCACGGGAAATTCTATTTCGCTGTACGTTTAACTTTCGGTTGCAAAAGCAGCCCCAAGATTTTTGACATGCTATCAGAGGCTGTTTGTTGGATTTTGTCTTACTCGATGACTTTCTAATCATCTCGCCTCCCGAAGCTCTCCCAGCCGTGCATATCCTTAGAGTTCAAAAAGTTTTTTCCGAGCTTGGAATTCCTATCGCCCAGGAAAAAAACCATGGGTCCTGCCACTTCCATCGAGTTCCTGGGCATTAATTTAGACTCAAGGAAAAAATCGACAGAATAATCCTCGTATCATCCACCCTCTTGTCAGTCCTGTGTCTTGTGTTTTGCTCCCCACGTGTTCCATGACCCAGTTTTCCCTCATGTTTTATTATGTTTATTGATTCCAGGTGTTTCTCGTCAAATCCTGTGTATTTAAAGTGTTTCCAGTTCTAGTTTCTTTGTCCGGTATTGAATGTTTGTCAATCCTCTCCCTACGTGTGCGTTCCTGCCTGTTTGAAAGAATAAAGACCTTTGATGTTAATTCTCCTTCATCTCCTCGTCTCCTGCACAGTAGGCAAAGCGTGACAGAATATCGGACCAAAGCAAACAGTAAGCGATGCCCCTTCTCCTTCTTTCCCCTGCGATTATGGAGATCGCGGCTCGATTCATTGCCCTAACCCATAGTGATCTCCCCTTCGTCGAGTATGCCTGGGAGTTCTGCGGGCTCGCCGCAGCAACGGCTTTAGATGACGCCACCGTCAACTCTCTGTTCTGGCACGGGGCCAATTACCATCGCCCTGTGGACCTCCCAGACATCACGGGACTAAGCTGGAGGGAAGGGATCCTCCAGTGTCTGTCATTCCCAAGCCCGCCGGCCGCTCCGAAGTCTAGACCGCTGGCCGTTCCTCAGTCAAGCCTGCCGACCGCTCCTCAGTCAAGCCCCCCGGCCGTTCCTCAGTCAAGCCTGCCGGCCGCTCCATTGTCAAGCCCGTCGGCCGCTCGGAAATCTGTCCCCGAGATTGGCCCAGTGCGGGCTCCTGTCCCCGAGTTTAGCTCAGTGAGGTCTCCTGCCCACGAGTTTAGCCCAGAGAGAACTCTAGTCCCCGAGTTTAGCCCAGAGAGAGCTCCAATCCCAGAGTTTAACCCAGAGAGGGCTCCGAGTCTAGCCCAGAGAGGGCTCCAGTCCCTGAGTTTAGCCCAGAGAGAGCTCCAGTCCCCAAGTTTAGCCCAGAGAGTGCTCCAGTCCCCGAGTTTAGCCCACAGAGGGCTCCAGTCCCCGAGTTTAGCCCAGAGAGGGCTCCAGTTCCCACGTCCAGCCCATGGAGGGCTCCAGTCCCCATGTCTACCCAAGGAGGGCTCCAGTTCCCACGTCCAGCCCTAGGAGGGCTCCAGTCCCCAAATTAAGCCCAGGGAGGGCCACAGTACCCGAGTCAGGCCCACGGAGGGCCTTAGAGGTTGATATTTTCCCCAAGTATTTTTTTTGGGGGGTGGGGTTATAGGGCTCCGGCCGTAGAGGCCGGGCCGAGTGCCGAGGCCAAGGCCGAAGCCACGGAGGCCGCTCCGCCATGGCTCCCCGAGCTGTCTGATCCGCCATGGCCTCTTGAACTGTCTGCTCCGCCATGGCCTCCTGAACTGTCTGCTCTGCCATGGCCTCCTGAACTGTCTGCTCTGCCATGGGCTCCTAGTCTGCCTGCTCCGCCATGGCTTCATAGTCTGCCTGCTCCGCCATGGCTTCCTAGTCTGCCTGCTCCACCATGGCTTCATAGTCTGCCTGCTCCGCCATGGCTTCATAGTCTGCCTGCTCCGCCATGGCTTCATAGTCTGCCTGCTCCGCCATGGCTTCATAGTCTGCCTGCTCCGCCATGGCTTCCTAGTCTGCCTGCTCCACCAGGGCTTCCTAGTCTGCCTGCTCCACCATGGCACCCCGAACTGCCTGATCCGCCATGGGTCCCGGAATGGGTACCGCTCTGGGGGCCTGCCATCCCGTGTCTGTCCTGAGGGCTACAGATGCGGACCAATTCCCAACTCCAGTGCCTCATTATTCAGAACTAATATTTCCGTAGCCCACCCGTTAAAACCCCTTCTCGATGCATCGCTCAACACCATCCTCCAAGCAGTGGCTCCCAGAACCTTCCAGTCTTATGTGACAGCGTGGAGGTGTTTTAAAGCATTCCACCTTTCATATAACCTGCCGTTTCCCAATTTCTCTCTTCTCTCAATCTCCTCATTTGTCTCCTACCTCAACAGCGTTAAGGGCTTCCAAGTTGGGTCCATCAAAGGGTACCTGAGTGGCGTCCAATTTTTTCACAAATAGATTTTTGGCACTTCCTCCCCCGAAATTAACAATTCCCAAATCTCCCTCTTGATCAAAGGGATTCAACGATCCCAGCCCACCCGCCCCGACACCAGACAACCAATAACTCTAGACATTCTCACAAAATGTATTCATACCCTCCATTCAGGCTACGGGCCCATTAATACCGCCCGCACACTCAACGCTATGTTTATCCTGACCTTTTTTGGTTTTCTCAGATGTTCGGAACTCGCTATCACTTCTAAATTCAATTCAAAAGTCCACCACACCATCTCAGACTTATCCGTCCTCGACAGTGAAACAATCTCCATTTTGATTAAACAAAGCAAGACAGACCAAGCTAGGAAAGGCCATTTTAGCTATATTTCCAACCTCCCATCACCAATCCAACCATACCAAACTGTCCTCGCATACATCCAATTCAGAAACTCCCAGACAAAATCCCCTCTTGAACCTCTATTTCTAGACGACTCCAACAAACCTGTAACTCGCTTTTGGTTCCAAAAACACCTCAAATCAGGGTAACT